AATAGTTTATCAATTTTAATGGAAATGCTGCAACTGTATAAAATTGGAGGATCTGAGAATTCTAGGTACATTGGCCCTCTCTGGTTTCAGCAAATTCCTACCTAGATGTTTGCTTACTTACTTGTTCGTATTGTTGCAAGCTGGCTTTTGGGGGTACTTTTTAGCTTCTGGAAGTAGTGACATAAGTTACTATTCACAAGTGAGTAAGACAGACAAGGTTCCTCTTCCTGTAGAATGTATAGTAGTGGGGTGATGGAAGGGAGGAAGAAAGAAATTTCTGGAGTGATATTAACATTAATAGGATTGTGAGGGAAGACCTCTCTGAAGGACAGGAAGTTCCCAGGAGCAAAGACACTGGGAATGTAGTTGTTCAAGTCTACATGTTGCTTGAAGTCTACTGATCAAGAGAAGTACGAAATAAGGTTGAGGAAAGGGACAGAGGCCAGCTCACGAAGGGACTTTTTTTTTTTTTTAATATTTATTTTTGAGAGAGAGATAGAGACAGCACGAGCAGGGAAGGGTCAGAAAGAGAGGGAGACACAGAATCTGAAGCAGGCTCCAGGTTCTGAGGTAGCCGTCAGCACAGAGCCCGATGCGGGGCTCGAACCCATGAACTGTGAGATCATGACCTGAGCTGAAGTCAGACGCTTAAGCGACTGAGCCACCCAGGCGCCCCACGAAGGGACTTTTATCTCCTGACTTAAAGGTTGGGTTGTAAAGTAAAGGACACCTCTGGAGAGATTTTGTGGCTTGTTGTTGTTTTTCCTTTTTAAGTAAATTGAGATGAAATGCAGAGGACAAAAAGTTAACCATGTGAAGAGTGCAGTTTAGTGGCATTTAATACACTCACAAGCCCATACAACCTCTACTTCTATCTAGTTCTAGAACATTTCCATCACCGAAGAGACTCTGTACCCTTGAAGCAGGTACTCCTCACCTTCCCTCCCCCCACCCCTGGCGGCCACTCATCTGCCTGGTCTCCATGGATTTACATATTCTTGAGATTGAGGATTAGTCCAGTCCTATGGTATAACCTCTTGTGTTTATTTTTTCACTTAGCATAATGTTCTTGAAGCTCATCTACATTGAAAGATGAATCAGTGCTTCTTCCTCTCATGGCTGAGTAGTAGTCCATGTGTAGATATACTACATGTTTATTCATGTAATGCCCATGTGGCCTGTGTCCACATTGGCTGTCCTGACTAGGGCTGCTGTGTGCACATTCTTGGACAGGTGTTTGTCGACCATGTTTTCAGTTCTTAGGGTAGATACCAAAGGGTGAGGTTGCTGAGTCGTGGGGTGATTCCACATTTAACTCTTGAGGAACTGCCAAACTGGTTTTCACAGCAGCTGCAGTATTTTCTTCTCAGGAAACACGCAAGGGTTCCAATTCTTGCACAAGCTTGCCAACACTTTTTTTCTGTTCCTTGATTCCCGCCATTCTGGGGAGTGTGAAGCAGCATCTCTATGGTTTTGATTTGCAATTTCCTAATGACTGATGATATTCTGTGAATGTTCATGTGCTTGTTGGGTATGTGTACATCTTCTCTGGAAAAATGGTCATGCAAGTCCTTCGCCCATGTTTTAATTGGGTCATTTGTCATTTTGTTGCTTAGTTGTAAGAATTCCTTATATATTCTAAATACTAGATCCTAATCAGGTATGTGATCTGCAAGCACTTTCTCCCATTCTGTAGGTTTTCACTTTTATGAAAGTATCTTTGCACTAAACTTTTCTCTTTTTTTAAGTCCCATTTACTTGTTTTCTGTTGCTGGTGCTTTTGGTGTCTTATCTAAGAATCCACTGCCAAATCCAAGGTCATGAAGATTTACTCCCCATGTTTTTTCCTAAAAGTTTTATAGTTTTAGCTATTTTAGGTTTTGGATCAGTTTTTTATGTGTGGTGTGAGGTCAGGGCACAAGCACTGTTTTGCATGAGGCTAGCCAGCTGTCCTGGGCTATGCGTTGAAGATTGTTCCTTTCCCCACCAAATGGTCTAGGCCCTCTTGATGAAACTTGGCTGGCCACAGGCGAGCAGACTTACCTCTGGACCACCATTTCTACTCCACTGGGCTAGATGTTTGTCCTTATTGAGGCACAACACGGTTTTGACTGATGTAGCTCTGTAGTAAGTGTAACACTGTAAAGTGTGAGTACTCCAAATGCATTATTTTTTCGAGGTTGTTTTGCTTTGTGGGGCCCCTTTCATCTCCATTTGATTTTTAGGATCAGATTTTTTATTCCTGCAAAAAGGCCACTGGGATTTTGATAGGGATTGCATTAAATCTGTAAATTATTTCAGAGGACTGCCATCTTGACAATATTAAGTCTTGTACTCGATGACCCTGAGGTGTCTTCCACTCACTTAGATCTTCTTTAATTACAACCAACAACATTTCATGGTTTACATGTGCAAATCTTTTACCTCCTTCGTTAAATGTGTCCCTTTTAATGTGCTGCTGACTCCAGCTTGCTGTTATTTTGTGGAGAATTTTTACCTTACATTCATAAGGTATATACTGGCCTGTAGTTTTCTCGTGATGTCTTGGACTTTAGGAGCAAGGGAATGCTGGTCTCATAGAGGGAGTTAGGAATGATCTCTCTTCTATTTGCTGGTGTTAATTCTCAAACATTTGGTAGAATTCTGTTGATTACTGATTCAATCTCTTTACACTATAGGAATGTTCAGATTTTGTTTCTTCTGAAGTTTTGGTAGTTTGTGTTTCTAGGAAGTCCTACTTTCACATGCATTGTCTAATTTGTTGCCATACGACTGTTTCTAGTATTCTCATAATCCTATTTCTGTAAGGTCAGTGGTAATAGCCCCAGTTTTCATTCCTGATTTTAGAAATTTTAATCTTCTGTTTATCTCAGTTTAATAATAGTTTACCACTTTTGGTTTTATTGATTTTTCTGTTGCTTTTCTATTCTACTGTGGTTTTTTCCTTAAATCTCCAATCTTTATTATTTTCTTCCTTCTAACAGCTTTGGGTGTCCTTTACTCTTTCTTCTAGTTTTTTAAAGTTGGGTTATTGATTTATTCATTTTTAACTTCTATAAACATACAGCTGTCAATGTCCCTCTCAGTGCTGATTTCAGTCATGGAAGTTTCAGGATGCTGCGTTTTCATTTGTCCCAAAGTATATTCTCATCTCCCTTTGCTTTCTTCTTTGGCCCATTAGTTATTAAGAGGGTGCGGTCACTGCAGACTCTTACGCAATGAAGTGGCCTGCTAGCAAGAATGTGTTGGCTGCGAAGTCATTAAAGGGTTGTGGAAGCAAGTGCGAATGCTGGAAAGCCATGTGGGAGGCCGGTGCGGTGTCTGTGTGAGAAGTATTGACACTGTCGTTAGTAGTGACTGTGTAAGTGACAGCAGTTACACATCTGGAACATACTTGGGCAGAAAAATCTTCAGGACTTGATTAAGTGGCCGCTTAGTTTCATTTAAGGGCAAGAGAGAAATCCTTTCTAGGTTTTGGCTTGCATCGTTGGTTGGCTAAAAGTGACATTTACTGAGATGGAGAGACGATGTTTAACTTTTCCTTTGGTGTTGAGAAAGAATGCCACGGGAAAGAAATGAAGGGTTGTTTTGAGACCTGGGATGCTTATTAGAACTGGCAATAATGAGTGTGCATGAGATGCTGATGTCCAAAGCAAAGGTCAGAACCTGGATACATTTGGAAGTCATCAACACAAAGACGATGATTACGTGGAACCAGATGAAGTTACCTAAGGAGGAAGTAGAGTTTGAGGAATGAGTTCCACATTAAGAGATAAAAGGGAAGCCAGGAAAGAGACTAGTGGAAAATCTGCCAGGCGAATTCTGGGTGACAGGGCATTGAGAAGCTGAGTTAAGAAGAAGATAGAGATTAAACTCAGTAAATTGAACCACTGATGATTTTGATTGGAGAAGTGGTAGGTAAAGAAGGTGGATTGAGAAGGTATGAAGAGCAAACAGGAAGTGTACAAGCTGAGATAGTAACAAGAAAATTCTTTTCCTCTGCTCTGTGCAAAGGTGAGTGGGGAAGTACACTGGGCGGTGGGGGGGGCGCGGTGCTTGATGCCAAGGGCCGTGCTTTGTGTGTGTGTTAGTAAGTATAGGCTACACTCCCTTCAGAGACGACAAAGACGGTCAGATGCAGGGCACTAGTGAGGGACAGTCCTTAAATATAGAGGCAAATGAGCCACTGGAGCATGCGAGAAATCAGGAAATGCCAGCATTGACATGGGCAACATGCCACATTTCAGGGAGAAAGGATGAGGGAAGCAGGAAGTGAGGCCCTCCACTGCAGGGTAAAGAATCAAGGACCGAAGTATTGATAAGCAGTAACAGGCTGGGCGAGTCAGGATTGCCGAGCAGCCATTTGAAATATGCAGTCATAAACTTAAGCTTGGTTATATGATCTTCCTCCAGTGACGTTCAGGTTGTGGAATGAGGGGTGTGAATTAGCAGATTCTGTGAGAGGAGAGAGTTCTTTCTGACTAAATACTCTAGAAGAGGTAAGGAAGGAAGGAGGGACAAGAAAGGGAACAGGCTTCGCAGGACAGGGGTGGGGTGACAGCCCAGGACGACTCTAGACGGCAGGCTGGAGGGTGAGAGGTCAGAGGGGTACAACTACTGGCATGGACTGGGTCACAGCTCGAACCCAGGCTGGAGCACACGTGCAGCTGAGCAGGGGGGAATGCCGTCATGCGAGAAGTCCTGCGTAGTGTTTACTGTGACACGAGCTGTCACTGTCTCGTGACATAACATGCCTCCGACCCTATCGGTAACTGGGCAAAGCTACGATGGGAAGGGTTGTCTTCTGCTTGTCTACACTGAGAAAGCCACTTGGTCCATGCCATTTCAGTGCTGGTAGTAGTCCAACTCTCTGCTAGCGCTAAGCAGGCAAGCAAGAGTGAGCGAGGCCGCTTCCTTTCATACTTCAGACGTCTGGTTGTACAGGATGTTTTGTCTGACCCAATGGTCATCAAGTAGGAAGATGATTCATAAAATTATAATATTCAAGTGACACAGCATTTATTTCAACTTTAATATACAATTAAACATTTTTATATTCTAGCAAAATATTACCATGAACAGAGTTTAAAAAGTACTTGTCAAAAAGCATGCTTAGCAGTTATCTACCTACAATTAAAATGTTTAGAAAATATAGTAACTTTTATAGGCTATTTAACGCCTTCTAACACGGGTGCCATAACTGAATGAACACACTCCCCAGCAGGTGATGGAGGTGCTGACTTACACGCCGGTAAGCATTTTACATCAGAGACTTCTCCCCTTTCTCAGCAGGGCTAACTTTGTATTACACGTAGTATGTTCTGAACTAGTAATACCTTATATTTAGTCCAAACTGTATTCATTTAAAAATACATTTTATATGATACATTTTATTTTATTAAAAAATACTAGTTTTGTGAGTATAGTTTTGTGAGTATAGTTAACTCGCTAAGATTTGTCCAACAAAAACAGTACTACAAAAACAAGCAAAATTCCTTTTACTATTCGGTTTCCCCCAAATTTCTCCCTGAAAAGAGAATGGTCTGCATAGTACTAAAGTCTCCTGAGGTTGGATTCTTTCTCATCCATAAGACAACATTTCTTTGGACTTGGAGGCTCTGACAGAAGCACTGTTTGTGGAGCTGCTGTGATATTTCCTTTTACAGCAACAGGAAGAGGAGGCTACAGCGTACTGATAACAGCTAGACATCACACATGAACGTTTCTTTCATGAGCCATGAATAATGACATCAGTCCTCTGCGTACATTAAGAAGCTCCTCTTCTTGCTATGGCCAGGAGGGAAAAATAAAAATCACACTTAGATTTTAAATTATCACTATAAAACCATCAAACAGAGAAAAAAAAGCTAGCTATTATTCAGGATTCTTTTTAAAACAACCCCTTTCCTAAAGGTACTTTGTATTAGTGCTCATTCTATCTCGCTGCCCAGGATCTAAGTATCTACAGAGTTCCAGGCTCGGCGCAGATATTCTAGATGATCAATGTGCAGAGATCCAGTCTTTTAAATCCCAAATTGTTGAAATGTCTTTCCAGGCTGCTTCAAGCTAAACTGTCTTCGCCACAAGAGGCTGTTCCTCTACTCTCTCAGCGTATGGAGGTTCTATTGAAATTGCAGGATGTAGGGGCACCTGGGTGGCTTAGTCGGTTAAGCGTCCGACTTTCGCTCAGGTCATGATCTCGCGGTTCGTGGGTTCGAGCCCCGCGTCGGGCTCTGTGCTGACTGCCAGCTCAGAGCCTGGAGCCTGTTTCAGTCTGTGACTCCCTCTCTCTCTGACCCTCCCCTGCTCACGCTGTCTCTCTCTCTCTCCTAGAAATAAAAAAAAAATTAAAAAAAAAACAACAACGAAATTTCAGGATGTAGTAAAGTCTACAGACAAGTGTCCACCATTTTTGAGGGCAGTGCCTTTGGACCCCTCACCCCCAGGTGCCTTCCCCTCAGAATGCAGTTGCTGGGCTAGTAGACCTTTAGAATCAACTCCAAAAGTCAACTACTTTTATCCTCAAATCTACATTAATGGAGTCTTGTTGCCCAAGTGGATGGTAATTGTGGCAGCGCCGCCCTGACACACCTGCGGAGGGCACGCAGAGGTCTGCTGCGAGCTGCAGTGCTTAGGCACACAACAAAGAAAGTATTCTTTTAGCTCATTTAAACATTTCCAAACATTCTTTTTTTCTTTAGGAGGGACTCATTTAAATCACTGCTATTAATATTTTCCTATCAATTTGCTCCATTATTCTAGAATAATTTCAAGAACTAAGACCACTGTCTCCGTCCACACAGCAGGACGAAGGCGTGTGGATGGACGCCCGCTAGAGCGCGGCTCACCATGTCCTTCAGCAGCCTCTCCTGCAGCGCCTTCATGTCCTCCTTCAGCGCGCACATCTGTAAATCAATATTTCACCTGTGACGTTTACGGTAATATTTTCACAGCAAAAAAGTATGGAGAGATTATATATGAGAATGTAAAAAAGGCTGTACCTCAGATGTAAAAATAGTTTCTTCGTAATCAGTGTTGTAGAAGACATTTTTGTCCAGTGACGCTTTCAAGTGGTGAAGCCTAACAAAGGAAGTTACCTTTGTATTTACCATTTTAAATTGCTATAATATAGTGGTAAGGTTTATATTATTTAAAAGTTAAAAATGTATTTAGGCTGTAGTCAGTAAGAATGCCGCACCAACCTCTGCTGCTCACTTTTCTGATAGGCACTAAACTTCTGAAATATCTTCTCTCCCAAATCCTACATTTAAAAAGACAAAAAAATGAAACTTGAAGAATTCCTATATTCCTGTTCCTAATTTAAATAAACAACTTGGCTAGATGCTAAGCATATTCTAGACATCATACACTGTCTCAGGATTTTCCCCGTATTATCAAAGGTACTTACTCATAAGCTTCAATCTATAAGTGGGGATATATGAAATCTAAAACTATTTTAGAAAAATTTTAATGTTTATTTTTTGAGAGAGACAGAGTGTGAATAAGGGAGGAGCAGAGAGAGGGAGACACAGAATCTGAAGCAGGCTCTAGGCTGTCAGCACAGAGCCCAAAGTGGGGCTCAAACTCAAGTACCATGAGATCATGGCCTGAGCTGATGCTTAACCGACTGAGCCACCCAGGTGCCCCTAAAACTATTTTCTAAAGAACAAAATTAACAGAAGTTTTCCTAAGTGTAGCTCTTCAAAAAAATTCTTAAAAGCACAAACCACAAATTCCTTCTCCAAATCTTTTAAAGACTGTGAATCTTTTTCAAAATTCTCCAGCTCCTCTATGATGATGAATTGGAATTTATCAAGTTTTTTGATCCTATTAAAGAAACAAAATGAGAATTTTTTTTAAACTAGAGCATTCAGAAGATTTCAAACAAGGTTTTTATTACAGACCTGTACTCCTGAATCTGGTGGTTCACCATATTCAGATGTTGCTGAGTTGTTTTCCAAGACTGCTTTGCAAAATAATCCATTATTTTTTGACGGATCTGAAAAACATTTTTAACTTGAAAACTCTTTACAAAACAATAAATAATCTAACTAAGACTATGTTAAGAACAACGACTTTACCATGCAAATGACTAAGCAAAGTGAGAAATGAGAAACTTGGTGATTTACACTGAAGTGTTCATAAAAAAGCTGTGTGAGCGGTGTCTGTTTCCCTAAGGACGCCACACTCTACATTATTTATAAAAATGCTATACCGCATAATTACAGAGATCATAACCCTCCTCAGGAACAGAGCCTAAATTCACACTCAGGATCATTACTGTCTTCCACAAAACTATACTCGCTGGAGCTAGCCACCTGCAGAGCAGAAGAGACACGCAGAAACCAGGGCTTCTCCGTGTACAGGTTGACCTTTGATAATTAAAATATACAGAATCTTAAATCATCTCAGAGGGAGGGACAAGAGCAGGGGGGGCCGATGACGAGTGGGGTTTTCCACACACGGTAACAGGAGGCAAAGAGGACTGTCCCTAACACAGCATGTCAGACAGAGAGGCAGGTGGTGGAGAAAACAACAGCGAAACGTTGTTTAGAAAGCATTTTTGCAAACATCACGTCACTGGAGCCCTGGGGCTGCAGCACCATGAGGAGTGACCCGGTAAAACAGTGCGAGGGGATTTCTCTGGCTTCCTGCTTGATTCCAGCAACCGTGCTGGCAGTCATTTCCATTCGATGAAAAGAGGAGGCATGGAAAGAAAACTGTTCAGAAAAAAGTCACGAAGAATCAAAATGGTAAACAAACTGCAAAGGGAAATAAGACAAAGAATCTAGGAAAAGAAAGAATACGAATAATGCACAGATTTGAGAAGAGAAACCTGTCTCAGAAGACAGATACTCCGCTTTTCACCAGTCCATGAGGAAAAGCGAATTCATAAATGGGTGTTTTGTTGCCAAAGGATCAAATGAGCTGCTAGATTAGTAGACAGGTGGCATATGACCACATTATTGGGTATAAACTGTCATTTAAAGAATGGTAACTTACATGAAATTTCCTCTTAAATTCTGTATTGAACTTCTCACACATCACCCCCACACCTGAAATTTCACTTTCCCAGTTCTCCGCAGGAAGAGACAAGTCATTTGTGGATAACGGAGATATACTTTCAGATACTAAACAATGGAGACAAACGGCTAAAGTTACAATATGCATTATTTACAAACTTAGACTTACTTGTCATGAGGCTGAGAACAAAATCTTATTTTCAGATTCTATGTGTGATCTAAGAATGTGACATAAAAGGCAGTTAAAAATATTTTCTTTTTAAAAAAATTCTCTTGCCATGGGTATTAAGGCAAAAATGTTAACACTGAAATAGAACGATTACTTTTTAACTATGTCCATGTTAATAACCAAATATTTAGTGACATACTAATCTATCCTTAATTTATACTCTAGTTAGTAAAACTTACATGTGGTAATCAGCAACAGAACGATAAGATTTATAAGATTTAAAAGACCCTTACTACCATATTATTCACATAAAGTGAACTCAGTGATAGAGCATCATCCTTATGAGACTTATCCAAAGTTCTCGTGTGTGTGCGCGATTTAAGAGCTAAGGAACCCCCTTCCACAATTAATTGCATTTTGACACAAGCATTTGATCTACTTACCTTTGTAAGTGTGATTATCTGTATCTTCAGTTCTAGATAGTTTTTTGGGAGGCAAGTATACTCCCCCTTCCTCCTCGTCTTCCAATTCTACTTCAGCATTACTTAGATTTTCTTTTTCTATGTACATTCGTTTGTGACTAAGACGCGGTGTAGGGCCTTAAGAACAGTTAAAAAACAATTGCACTACAATCTTGATTAAAAATAACCTAATTATTTTCTTGCTTTTATTTAAAAAAGCCTTTCAGTGATTTATTTGCATTCTTTTAGGCAGCCATGCATTAAATTCTATCCAGCCTTATTTTCACTTTGACATTAACTAAATTGAATAAATGGTATGGCTAAAAATATAATTGCTTTAGAGAGTGAAATTTCAGAGTAGTTCAGTAATCCTGTTTTTATTTTTTTTTTATTTTTTTTTTAAATTTTTTTTAATGTTTTATTTATTTCTAGGAGAGAGAGAGAGACAGCGTGAGCAGGGGAGGGTCAGAGAGAGAGGGAGTCACAGACTGAAGGAGGCTCCAGGCTCTGAGCTGGCAGTCAGCACAGAGCCCGACGCGGGGCTCGAACCCACAAACCGCGAGATCATGACCTAAGCGAAAGTCGGCCGCTTAACCGACTAAGCCACCCAGGTGCCCCGTAATCCTGTTTTTAAAGCAATGCTGTGGCTACAAACCTGATGCATGAGTAGAGTCACAAGGAACGTCACACCGTATTTGCTCTCTTCCTTCACTAGACATAGACAGTGGAGATGCGGAATGAGTTCCCTAAAACAGGTGTTAGAAATAGAAATTGGAAAAAAAAATTCTGTAGGTGCTCGTGGCTTCGCCTTTGACCATCTTTCTCAAACCCTAAAGCAAATAATTTGCAAATGTTGCCCCTTCTTTTTTCAGATACTTTTGTTTAGGTCCCATCCCAGCCCTCCCCCTCAAGCTGTAAAATTCTGCCTTAGCTTTCTGTCTTACAGATTATTAAAAACATTTCTGTTGATGGACTGCTATAGTGGCACAAAGTATAACCGATTTCTAAATTATCGTGAAACCAGAAAGTCCCAGTTGTAAGTACCTAAGCCAGTGGCTCAGCAACTATATCTCCACTATTTAAGAACTTACAACATCTCACTTAAAAAATTTCAACCTTTTTCCATGATCTGAATCTTGAAAATCTGATGTTTTTTAAAGTAATAAGTTGAAAAATATTAAAATACATTTATTATTTAGGGCCAGTAGTCTGTTCTTATAAGAACAATCTTAATTTAAGTTTGCTGGCTCTACTACCCTTCTAACCTCTACTGCTCTTGTACGTGATGTTCATCGTCATGTGTCAGTTCAATTTTCATATACTGTTTTTTTCTGAACTATCAGTGCTTTCATCTGAGTAGCTGGTGGAATCCTGTGTTTCTAGTGTAAGTACCAGAGAATTTATATGTTTTCTATACACAACAGTATTATTAACTGGAGAATGTCTGGGCTATGAATGCACAAGACCTACAGAAACCCAAAGGAAATTAGAAAGTTATTTAAAACTGAAAACAAAACCACAACAATATTACACCAGAATGACTTCTATTTCAAGGGAATAATTCATGCTATTAAAATTCAACACCCATTCATTAATAGAAAGGGAAAAAGTCCTTGGACAACTGAAACGCTAATCTGTAAGTATTTACAAAGCCTATGGCAAAGTATGTTGGCTAGTGTGGCATCTATTTCACTTGCCCCAGAGGTCACAGTCACCTGAACAATAAAAGAGTATAAGGACCAGAATGGAAAATGCAAAAAAGTATCATGAGGAACTGTCCAACATCCAAGAAAACCTAGGCAGGGAATTATGACAAAATTAATGAAGGTGGCTGGAGATATAAAAATCTATAGTGCTTCTATACAAAGCAAAAAAATTAAAAGCTCAGACAACTTTTAAAGTTTTTGTTTAATACAGCAAAAAGAAAATCCATAAGATACAGGAATTTATTTTCTTTGTGGAAGATTTGGCATAACACCAAAATGTAGAGAGAAAAACATACGGTGAGAAAGCTCCCAGTATCAATACTGGGAAATGGCAATTCTTCCCTTAAAGTAGTTCCAAAATTTATATGGATGACTAGAGGGCCATGGGGATTTATAAGTAAGAGAATGAGAGGGGTGGAGGTTGGTGAAACACCATGCAAGTGTGAAAGACTATACCAATGACAGCACTGTGGCATTAGCACAGAGACAGACTGGCCAGTTACACAGAACAGTGTCCCAAGAGCTGGCCCTCGGTGCTACGGCCTGATCAGCATAACAAACGATGGAGACCGGAGGGCCTTTGCGCACGTGCAGGATGCTGCACTAAACTCCCTAGGAACACTGAAAACCTAATAGTGTTTAAGACATTTTTAACTGACAGGAAAATATGATAATAACTGAGGGATTTCTTGGTCACAAAAAGACTCTGGTAAATGTCATTATGTTTTGTGATATGGAAATTTTTTTTTATCTAAGTGAAATTATAGCTACTGGAAAAAGGATGTTTGCATTGTACATACATAACCAATATAGAATATCTAGAATATTTTAAGAACGCCTACAAATTTATAAGAAAAAAAATCAAACAATTAAAAAATTAGGGGGAAAAAAAAAGCCAATTCACAAAATGGCCAAAATACTTACTGATGTTTTTAATCAGTAAAATGCAAATTAAAGTTACATACTACACATCAGCTTGGTGAAAACAGAACATGTGGTAACAGTTAAAACCGTAGGGAAATATGGCCACTATCCAAGAGCAGTGATGGAGAGTGTAAACTGACAGAGCTAATTTATGTAGCAAATTTCTACTATCTCAGAGTCAACAATAAATGGGAAACAAATGGCCAATAAATATGCAATAATTAAAATTCCTACTAGCACAGAGTAGGATGAAAGCAAAGTGGGCAGGGCATCCCCTAGGGTTTGAGATTTGCAAGAGAGGGTGCTGGGGATTAAAGGGCTCAGGGACACGAAGGGCGGCAGAGCCAAAGACCACGGGAAGAGATCTAGTGGAAAACTGGCGCTCTGGAATGGAGAGCCTTGCGAAGGTGCCTTGGGAGTAACCCGGGATGGGGGGTGAGTAGCCTAGGGCTTAGGCCTGTCGGCTTTACCTGGTGTGGCTCCATTTTTATTTGTTTGGTACACTGGAGGTCTCGTAAGAGATTTTGTTAGAAAAACATGCTCTGTGAAAGCTACTGGTTAAACAGAATAAAAGGACCTTAACATCCTGCAGAAATACAAACATTTGGTTCAAAGTAGGATGGAAGCTTGGTTTTGTCAGAGTCCTCAGATCTGGGCCGTAGGTACACAGAACTCATTAACTGCATGTCTGTAGATGGAAGTCAACACAGATCAAAAGAAGAATATATTTGGGTACTTACTACGTATCACATATTCTGCTTGCACAGACTAATTTCTCACTACCCTACTGTACAGATGAGAAAAGTGAGGTGCAGAGGGATTCATTAACTTGTAAAATGTTACACAGCAAACAAAGAGTGGAGTCAGGATTTAAATGCAATTCCGTCTCACATGAAACTCTTTCAGCTATACCCAGCTGCAGTGAATTATATTATCTTGGCAACCAGTTCTATAACTTTACATAGAGACCCAAAGAGAACTATAAAATTCTCCAATTTAAGCCATCTATACAACCCGAGCCAAAAGGGGATGACAGTGGGGTGGGTTTTAAACTGGTACTGAAGTAGCCACAACTTCAAACTCCTCTTTGTAGGCATAACATTTTTAGCTATGGTTCCTCACTTTGACCATAATTGATTCCTATCTTTAATGTCTTTTTACAACACTTTGAACATACCTACATATTAAGAAATGGTACATATAACAATATAAAAAAGAGAAAGAATAAAGAATTTTCCACTATACCACTAACTTTGTTCATTTTAATATTCATTCATTTATGAACTACATGGTTTTGACACATAGACAAGTGAGTAGCACCTCTGTCGCAGTGATCATTCCTATCAGAATACTCTACACAGCACTCAGTACTTCTCACACCACCACACCTTTCCTCCTGTACAGCTATTTATTAGGCCATCAGTTTCACAGAGGCTGTTTACTTATCAGTATGTTATTTTTGTCCCACTGACCAAACCCAGAACCCTAAGCTAGGTGGACAAGCAATGTACACTTGATTAAAATTAGAGGGAAATGATTTCCTCACTTTGAATGTATCTGGTAAAGGAAGAAAATAACATATATTCTTACCAACAAGAAGGATCGCGGAATTGGTGAGCAATGTTCTCTTGCACATACATTTTTGTTACTGTTTTTAGGTGACCTTATTGGACCTCCATATGTACTGTTTAAAGAGTCAGGTGATGAAGTTTTTGAATAAGGTGATACGGATTCTGTTAAACAGTCATAATCCTGAGTAAAATCCTTCTCTGTTATTTTCTCTATACCTATATTGCCTCACAAAACACAAAACACAGATGACAGGTATTATCATTGATGTCTGCTTCAGAAATAGTATGATGAAATCCTAGACTATAATGATTTATCAAATCCTTATCTGTATTTAAAAAGATAAACTTCTAATAAATCAATTTTAATTTATATTAAAATAATTTAATTTGTAAAACTTTGAAAAATATTAATGGCTCCATTTAAGATGTAATTATAAGAACTTTCAAAATTTCCCACAAAAATATCTATAGTATGAGCTGAGCTGCACTGTAATGATCACCCTAAGCATTATCTTGAGTATTCTGACATCATAGCCAGAACGGTTACATGGTAAAGTCACAGAACTTTCTGGTTGGAGATGCCCTGGGAAATCATCTTATCTATATCCTTCATGTACAGTTGAGGAAATTCATGGCTGAAATAGGTCGTAGTGTAAATGGACTCTCAGTTTTCAGATCAAATCAGGGCATGTGCATCTCTGTTCTGGCATGTGGTTATCTGAGAGGTCAGTGGTCCTGAACAGCATAGAAAATATTCTAGTAAAGAACAAAACAGCTACTTTGGAGGAAGTATATGTTAACTTATGGATACTTGGAAATGCTTTAAAAAATTCTCAAAGAACTGACAGAAAGTGCAAACTTATAGTTACTATACTAGAAAAACATGTGTGTGTGTGTATGTGTGTGTGTATTCCAGAGTTCCAAAGATTATGAATTTTTCTTTGTGAGTTATCTTTAAACAAAAGCAAATCTCAATTTGTGAAGATAATCCACTATAGGTCCACAGAATGACCATGATATTCCTTGCAGACTTTTGTCAATGAAATGTAAAAGAGAAACAGCAGAAATCCCCATCATTATTTTCACATTATTAAATATGTTTGGGGATTAAAAGCCTAAGAGTTGATTTAAGCTTTCACATTACAATTTGTAAATATACATTAAATATTCTCCACATTGAACCATTTGGTCTTTGACTTCCCACCATGAAAGCCTTGGGTGTCAGAAGGACACCTGCACGTCTACTTAGCAAAGACCAAGTTACTGGCATTAACTAGTTCAAAAGCTGGAGTTCTTACTACCTACAACTTTGAGGAGCATATTTAAGATTAATCTTTAAACTGTGTTTTCACAAAGTTATAATAGAAACTTGTTAAATATTTAAAAGAAAAAAATGATACTGACATCTCATGACTTCTGCAGGTGATGCGCTCCCAGATAAAGATACAGGAGATGAGCCAAGGTTATTATCTCTTACAGCATCTTTTAGTAGAGATGAGTTTTTCCCTTCTTTTGCTCTATCCTCCTGTGTTTCGGCAGAGGCGGCTTTCTTCTGTTTCTTTGGTAGCTTTATGGTTTTGCTTCTGGTACGGATATTCTCCTCCTAAGTATATTGATAATTTTTAAGTTATACTTAAATACATAGTTATACTTGGACACATAAATTATGCTGAAATATTAAATATCTTCTGTTACTATATACGGGTATGACGGGCTTCAACAGGAGTAGTGTAGGACTTTCTGCTTATAGAAGGCACATGACAAATTCACAGGGAATGTAATACATGGACTATAATATCACAAGTGCTGATATGTAAGGAGATTATACGCAGTTTAGGGAAACCAGAAAGAGTTCCTGGACTTCATGGCACTTGACGTGTCCGGGAGTCACAGAGAAGATGGTGAGGGGAGACTCCCGCCAGATCACCGGGACTGGAGCTGCACAGCGTCGCTGGGGAGTCACAAGCTGGCCCATCTGGCTGTTTCAGCTCTGGTTACACAGCAGGGAGCAGGGAGAGTGAGTTTGCCAAGGTCTTCGGATGCACTGACTGACTGCCCACATAGAGATTGTCAGCATTTTTCTTTGAAGAAAGAGATGATGAAAGGGGGCTTGGGAAGACTCATCTGACTTACAGAGAGTAAATTAAAGTAAGAAGTGACAGAAAATGTGGACATAAGTTATGAAGTTCTTAAAGTCTTCCAAGTAGAGGATAACAGGGTTATAAACAAAGCAGGGTGGAAGCTTAATTATGTGCAATCAGGAACAGTGGTAACAATCAGAGACCTACCTTCAGTGCCAGACTCTCTGGGTTCAAACCTTTGTTTTACCACCTCCTAGCTGTGTGACCTTGGGCAAGTTCCTTCATCTCTCTGAGCCTCAATTTCTCATTTGTAAAATGAGATGTCAATAATAGTAGTACTAGTCACCTATGGTACTTAAGAGACTTTAAGAAGTTAAATCTATAAACTACTTAGAATAGCACCTGGCAAACTATAAGCACTATTTTTCTTGTCTTTCTTTCTTTTTTTTTTTTTTTTTTTTTTAACTTTGTTAAAAAAGCTTTCCAGCACAGATGGCTGGGGAGAGGTCTGTAACATTAAGAGACAGAAAGAAGTCAGGGATAGACACAGGTGGTCAGTGTATGGGAAGAACCTCAGATCTAATATTTTGGCTTCAGAGAAAGAGTCACAGCTTCCCAACAGTCTGCACTGTTTTGATGTATAATTTTGGAAAAATCAAGTGCTTTTCTAATTCAAAAATATTAAAGTTCTAATTTTGCTAGAGTCAAACATCTGTTTTGTAACACTAATGCCAACTTACCACAAATTTTAACATACTGCCTCAAGATCAATTTTTAGTATATAACATTTCTCATATAGAAGGTTCAATCTTAAAATGTGACATAGTCAACATTTTTGGAAAACTTTATTTCTCTACTTAGTATTTTAACAGGCAGGCTTTTTAGAAAATTTTAATCTGAATTGTATCTATTTACCTTTACTAGCAACTTCTCTTTAAATGAATGTGAAAATTCTTGTTCACTCTCTGATTCTGAATTTGAGAGGTCTTTATAATTTTTTTTGGTTTTTGCCGCTCTTCGTGGAAGTCTGGTTCTCCCATCTGGAACTGTCTCCTCTTCCTTTTTGGTGGTATTTTTGTTGGGTGTCTTTAGGAGGAAAATTTCTGAATTAGTAGATCAATATGTGAGATATAAGAAATAAAAGCTCTTTGCTATACAACTGGTCATGTGACAATACATAAAATATTTGTAGGAATTAAATAAACTTCCTGACTAATATTTTTAAAAGTCTGGATTTTATCTTTCCATCCAAGTATCTCCCCCATTACCCTTTTTATAGCTATCACTAAAACTCTGAGGGGCCTGGTATACGTATTACCTAACTTACATAAAAAAGAGAAAAGAGAGGAAAAAAGAGAAACAGATATAGGTATTATAATCACAGAATAAAACAGACCTAAAACAGGCCAACATGATTCAAAGAGGCAGAAAGTAGGAGTATGCATGCAAAGGCTAGAACAATTCTGGAGAAATAAGTAACATTAAGGATAAAATTATAAGATGAAAAATGAAGCTTTTTACATCATAAGAGAAAAATAATTTTCAAGGGATGTTTGAACACAAACTTCTTGGTTTTACCATTTTAGATCTTGGTTGTCCCCTTTCCAAAGATGATCCTGCAATTCAAGAAAATAAAGTTAAATTTTTCAAATAAGAACTGGTATTAAAATTTATTAGAATATTTCTGCATAGAAGTTAAAATCGTAACAAGAATACATTTTAAATTCATTCAAAAATTTGAATTTCAAGATGATTTGAGGCCAAACGGACATTCAAAACTTTATAGTGTGCAGTAGGGTTTAAGTGATCAACTTCTTTTCTCCTCCTTTATACCATGAAACTTCTTAAACATGCGTGAGAACAGGTAACATAAGTTATAAAGTGAACACCTCTGCATCTATCATTCAATTTAAAAGCTGGATTATGAATAGTGATGTTATCTATTTATGTGTACTCTCCCTGATTGTCAATATCCCCTCTGCCAAAAGGGAATATTTTCATTATCTTGAATTGTTTCCCATTCACTTGGTCTTAAAAAAAAAAAAAAAAAGTTTTACTTCACAGGTATCTATCCCTAAAGAATATAATGAACTTTATAAAACGGTATCATCTCATATATAATATTCTATGGTGTGCTTTATTTTTCACCCCTCGTTGTTTCTAAGATTCGTCCGTATTTACTGAGAATAGCTAGCTTTAGTCCCTATTCCTTTTTTTGCTTTTCAAGCACAATCAACTTTCTAAATATTCTCTGAAGCCTAGGAAATGGGTTTATCCAAGCCAAGGAAGCAATGAGGTTCTGGGAAAAAGCTCTTCCAATCCTGCTGATAAGCCAGTCCCCACACAGTGACTTGTAGGCATTCAGCCATTTAAATAAAACAGTGCACTCTGAAGTTCAATTTTAAAACTACTGACTATTCTAACCTTGAATGTTTCCTCAAGAGGTTATAAATGAGTATAAAGTCCCTGAGGACTTGTATCAGTTTCTCCTGGCTGATAATACACCGTTGCCAAGTCCCAGAGCCTCAGAGCCTCGAGCAGGTGCGGTGAATCTAACGGCCTCTTAGCACAAGTCTGACCTGTGCTACGGCCGCCCCGCCCCCCCCTCCCTGCACTAGCACATGCTGCCGTCTCAGGCAGCCTCTTTCCTATATGATAATCCTGCTGCTTCTCTTCTTTGCAGAGATGATTGGCCCCGTTTTCAAGATTCAGCCTCATTTACAAACATGTGCCAAGCTTCACTTCCAGGTTTCTCTTAGTAACTCCTGTTTAAGCTGTCACCCACTCTCCTCCCCACATATGCAGAGGCTACTATTGGTTATATTTTATCCTGACATAAAATAAAGGCTGGTTCTCTTAAATATCAATTTAAAAGGTCTTCTTTTAAAAATGGAATATATAAAATCTTTGGGTTTTAGTAAACAAGCTAGGAAAATGGTCAGTATGTCTAGCCAAAAATCCATACCTCAAACTCTTATCCCACTGCTTTAAGAGATTCACTAGACAAAGCAAAAGCCATATGCTGGGAAGACATTCTGTGGAAGATTTAGGCAAAAATATTTCTGCAAGAAAATGGTTTTCCTTATGTTTTTATGTGAACTCCTAAAGAGTATATGTGTTAGGTGTGACAGGAAATGGGATGTCCAAGATTTGATTTCTGCTTATTAGGGTGTTGGGTTCATGAGTATTTGGTAACACATTATCCACAATAACTCCCAAATAACTGTATGACAGCAGGCCACGAGCAGACAAATGATGAGAGTATGCACGAACCGAAGAATATGACAATTATGTTTTGTGTCTTTAATATCCCAGTAAAAAAAAAAAGTAATCTCTACACAACCATAATACTAAAAATAAAACAAAAAACAAAACCACGTAGTGTTGTGCTATATTTGCTGTTTTTTCTGTTTATAAGGCTATGTAGTTATCAGCACTACCTACATACAAACACACTTATCAGCTAAGAAAGCATTTCAAGTAGTTGACATGGTAAATCATTTGCAGTATTTCTCTAAAAAGTCATTTCTTACTTGGTTTGCCACTTTTCTGCTTCTTTACATTTTTATTTCTGCTATAGTCTAATAGCTGTGGTTTTGATTTTGGCCCCTTCAGCCAGCTAACATCAGTCTTGCTGTCATCACATCTGTATTCTGTGTCAGTATCACTAAAGAGATTTTTCTTTTTATGATTTGCTACAATCTAGTAAAACAAAAAAGAATCCTTGTAATAGATGAAGAAACGTGTCTCATTATACACCATTAAAGGTAAGTTAAGCCAAAAAACAGAAAACAGAAACAACCCAAGCAACAGAAACTGACTTCTTAATTTTTTGGCATACTAATGTACCTGGCCTTAAGAAAACATAACCAGAAAGTCACCCAGAAATCCAGATCAGAGACTGAAATTCCTATTTTGTTGTTGTTTAAAAGTTAAAACAGCTTACTTCTACACAGATATGAGCTAATGCCATCAAAGAAAGTAACTAAAGCTATCATACCTTCTATTAGTAGATGATTACAAATAGCTCCGAGACCATAACAAAGTCATAGTTGGCACACGAACAATCTCATAGAGGGGGAAAAACCCAAATATTTTTGTTTTCTAGAGCTTGATCATCTTGGGCAATGGATATTTTTTTTAAGTATTTGAGATAGAAGGCATGCACACATGGGGGAGGGGCAAAGAGAGACTCCCAAGCAGGCTCTGTGGGGTCAGCGCAGAGCTCCATCTCACAAATCGTGAGATGATGACCTGAGCCAATACCAAGAGTCAGATGCTCAACCGACTGAGCCACCCCGGCACCCCAGAAAATTGTTTTTTTTTTTTTTTTAAATACAGCTGTTAATGTACACATTAGGATATCATAACTTACTCTTTTATCTTTCGTTTTGAGAGAAGGTTCAAGTTCATCATGATTCCTTAAACCTATCCTTAAAAAAAAAGATGCATTAATTTTAATTAATGCAATTAATTGTTCTCTTAAGGTAACATGCACCGGACAGCTAGACCTTGGTCTTCAGCCTGACTCTTTTACTAGCTCACTATACAATTCTGGCCAAGTTGCTCATCCTCTCTGACCTCGGTTCATTATAAAAATAACAGGTTTGATGAAGGACTGAGGCCTTCCAGCTTCATCATCGGACAAGCACAGCTAACGTGACAAGTGCAGAGGACACGCGTGTCACGTTCGGGAGTAAAGGCTGGAGTGTCCAGAACGTAACGGGGCAGTCCTGCTGCGAGTATCCCCAGTATGTTAGAACCTCTCACACACACGGGGAGGACACACTGAAGAGAAAGAACAATTGAGAAACTTATTTTACTCTAATCCATCTGATTGTAATAAAAACACCTACAATTTTATTGAATTATCCACACAGGCTTCTGTAGCTGTAGCTTGAAATTCCTGGATCTAGATTGTGAATAAACATTAAAAAATTTTTCTTAGTGTCAAAATAAGGTAAACAAGTTTTAAAAAATAAACATATGAATTCTAGCTTTTATCACTTCCTATCATTAGATGCATCAATAAAATTAAGCTTACAGCAGTATTTTTACATATAAAAAGAAAGTTAACACTATAAAATATACTAAAACCAAAATAAGTAATTGTTTTAAAATGCCTTGTATCAAGAAAGAAAGAGATTTTCTTGATGTAGTAGGGTGAGTCCCCCCCAGGCTCTAATTACTCAATTTTCTCTACTTCAGTCAGAAAGATTTTAAAGGAAACTAAATATACCTAAATTGGTACAAAATAAGTTTTAAAATATTTAAAAATACCTTAAAGCATATCTATAAGAGAATGGAAGCCAAAAAGCATACATTGTAATAATATAGTGAATACAAAATAAATACTGAATAACTAATACGCAATGCTGATTTCTAGCTTACTCCAAGTTTTATAACAGGCTCATCAGCTCCATTCAAGTTAAAATTGTAAACATCATTCCTGTAAAAATGAAGAGAAATATTAACTTCATTATATAATAAATATTCTTCATATATGAATGAAACTATAAGATCTATGGAAAATTACTTACAGTGGGCATTCGGAAGTAACATTAACAAAAGTAGTCTTCAGTTGTCTGTAACTCTTTTTCTGAACTTTTTCCTAAAGACAGAAGTTTATATACAACCATTCAAACTTGCACATTAGTATAGTTGGCAAACAACACGTGCAATTTTATTTTTCATCTATTTTCTACCTATTTCTACTCATGTTTTCCATCTGCAGCTGTTCCCTTCATGTAAACTGAATAAAAGTATTCAGCATCCATACTGATATAAATTTTGAAGACTTAAGTATTAACTGAGAACATAACTGCAAGTAAATTAGATACAAAATATAAGATCCTTACTTTTAACACTTAACTTCCACTGTTGTACCCGGGCTGGGCTAAATGACCTTTACCCTGGTTTCCTAACAAGCAGAGCATCAGTGACTCCAGAATCACAACACAAACACGCTTCTTTTTTTCCAGACTCATTTACTTTAAAGTCTTAAATAGAAGAACTTTGGGAGAGACTAAGGTTCATGGAAAATCACCATTAATATCACTAAATGACTACCTACTAAAAAGAGATACTCAGAAGTCTAATAAGCTGAAAATAAAATTAAATATTCATTTTAGCTGTTATTATATTCAATTTTATTATGTATTTTGGCTGTTTTATATATAACTATTTCTATTATTCCAGAAAGTTGATCCCTTAATATATTGCCCCTCTGATCGCTTATCTGAGTTATCTTTTCCAATATGATTTTTAACGTTTAGATATAGCTGTTAAATTCAACTACTGCATGCTAGTGTGTGTAGGTAATACAGAAGACACAAAAATAAGCCAAGCTATTAAAAAGAGATACAAGAGTAAGCAGAAGTGTTACACAGGGTACACAAATGATTCTACACAGACACACTCTACTAGAAGACAGTAGAGAGAAAAAAGAACTGCAAGAGTGAGTAAAATATCAAAAAATGGTACAAAGAAATTGGTGTGTAGATTCAGAATTTCTGTCCATTTGGACTCTGCGTCAGGGCACCTTGGAAGTTTTCAAAAAGAAGGTGGACTCTGAAGTAAGACTCACTAGGTGGAATCAAGCTTTGATGACCAGAAGAGTGTAAGAGCATCCTGAAAGTTCAAAGTTTTTCCTAAAGAGGGCAAGGAAAGAGAATAAACACTTAGGAAAAACACTTCGGGGAATCTCAAGTTATTATGCTTCAACTAAAGGAGACATGTCTAGGGAATAATAATAGGAAATAAAGACAGACTTGGAAAGGGACTGGAGAGCCAGCCTAAGTCTGTGCTCAGTAAGCAACAGGAACCTGAGGAATCTGAGCAGAAGGGCGTGGCTGAAGTGTGTGCCTTAAAAAGAGAAAAAGCCAGTACTGAATAGAACGGTGGACTGGCAAGAGAAATCTTAGAGGCAAAAAAATTACATAAAGGCCACTGCAATAATCCAGGGATTAGAAACTAGAACTGAAACTAGGAAACGGGAGCTACTTAGGCAGCAGAGGGGGATTTAGGAGGAACGTACAGAAGGTGAACCTCAAAACTTGAAATCAAATGGATAGAAAGTAAGTGTGAGGAATAACTCAAAGGCAACTGGTATTTTTAGCCTGCATAAATAACTTTTTTAAACAGAAACACAGACTTAGGAAAGATCTTACTGTCAGAAGAGATGGGATTAGCTAGGGAAAAAAATGAAAACAAAGATTTATTGAATCAGGTAGCAGAAAGTGAAAATATCACACTCAGACATGTAAAAGAAATATTTTTGGAGCATTTAGGTCCCTCAGTCAGTTAAGTGCCCAACTCTTGATTGCAGCTCAGGTCATGATCTCACAGTTTGGTGAGATTGAGCCCTACATCAAGCTCTGCACTGCCAGCACAGAGTCTGCCTGGGATTCTCTCTCTCTCTCTCTCTCTCTCTCTCTCTCTGCCCCTTCTCTCTCTCTCTCAAAATAAATAAATAAACTAAAAAAAAGGAACTTTTTTTTTGAAAAGCAGAACAGAAAGGATTATTTTGAGTACTTGCCACTAAACTTGTGGTTGTTTAATCAATTTTTCAACATGCTGAAGACATTAATTCCACCCTATTGTGCTTCTACTTTATGTTTACAGTCAAATGTCAGAGTTTGACTATAGATTAGGTGTAGTGAAATAAATGAAACGTACCTTACTGAGCTGTAGGTCAGATTTGTTTGAAAAACTGCTGTAAAAAAGATTTTGTCAAAAATTTAAAAAGCAATGATCGGTAGAGTGTTCTTCATAAAAGCCACGTCATATAAGGTAAAACATTTGGGTCGCTAAGTTTACATTCCATACGTCTTAAATCACTGCAGTGTGACAGGCCTAGTGTCAGACTCCTGCAACTCCCCTCCTAGTCAACAGCACCAGCACCGTGACTGTGAATCCTAAGCAGAATCGGGCATGCAGCTAGAGGGGACAAGCAATTTGAAATGAATGGTTCTGCCATGAGAGGAACTATTTCATGCCGTGTAAAGAGGCCAGAATTAAGTTAAACATAAACATGAATTAACCACCTAAAACCTATAAAGAAACATCTTGTAATAAGACCTAACCTTCAGAAAAAAAATACATATTTATTATATGAAAGCGACTCAGCTCAGCTCATTTCGCTCAGCAACATAAGTAAACGTATTTAATCTTATTCATCAGTAGGCTCGATAAATAAAATCCTAAAATGTCTATAGCCTAAAGACTTATTTATGAAAATGTATGCTGTATCAATATAGTATTTTGATACTTTATAAAATATAATCACATACTACAGTGCTTAATTTCAAATTTAGTTCCCTTCCAGTATAATTTAAACACTTATTATTTACAAAAGTAAGTAACTAGGTGTTTCTACTATTTGAACATGTTCAAAACTAACCTTAAAACTGTGAAATAATTTAGTTGTATGTCAGAAAAATATTTATGTCTAAAATTTAAGTATATACCTGTCAGTCAAAGACTCCTTGAATTTTCTTGTAGACTTTATGTCATCCTTTGGTTTGTATCTCTTATTGAGTTGGTTTATCAAGGATTCTGCTGCATCAGTAAACCCTTTCTCTTTGGACTTTTTGCTCTGAAATAATGTGTAAGTTACTTTGAGACTCTATCAGTTAACTTTCAAAGGAAAATAAAGGCTGAAAGGAACATTTCAGAAAAATATGGTTTTATATATAACTACAAAGAGAAATAAAGGGGGTTAGAAATTATTTAGTAAGTTTGGGCTTTGTTAGGCATTAAATAACACAGGGTAAGAACTTGCAGAACCATGCCAAGTGCTCTGTAGAGATCAAAATAAAAGTTTCTATCCATGGAAAAGTAAATTGTATTAAAAACTGAAGGAAATTAAAAGCTGGTTCTTTGAAGAGATCAATAAAATTGATACATCTCTAGCCAGGTTAGCTAAGGAAAAAAAGAGAGAGAAAAGACTGAAGTTGCTACTATAGAAATGAAATAGGTGCTGTCACTCTTAGATATTAAAAGGCTAAGAAAAGGATATTATGAACAACCAGGCCCACAAATTTGATATCTAAACCAAATGAACCAATTTCTTGAAAGACAAAATCTACCAGAATTCACACAAGGAGAAACAGATCATCTGAATAGGCCTCTCTCTATTAAAGAATTGAATGAATAATTATTACCTTCTAAAACAGAAAGCACCAGGCCCAGAGGGGTTCAATAGTGAGTTCTATCAAATACTTAGGGAAGAATTATATCAAGTTTCCACAATCATCCAGAAGACTGAAGCAGAGGGAATACTTCTTAACTCATTCTGTGACACTAGTATCATCTTAACACCAAAATTAAAGACGTTATAAGAAAGGAAAATTACAGACCAGTATCTTTCATGAACATGGATGCAAAATCATCAAAATATTAGCAAATTATATCCAATAATGTATAGAAAGAATTATATGCCAAAACCAAGTCGTATTTATTCAAGGTATGTAAATTATACCTTGTCAACATTTGAAATCAACTAATGTAATCATGCCAACAGGCCAAAGAAAAAATCATACAATCCTACATCAATAAATATATAAAAAGCATGTGACAAAATCCAATACTGACCCATTCATGTTAGCAATTCTCAGGAAACTAGGAATTGAGGGGAATGTCTTCAGCTTGATAAAGAACATCTTCCAAAAACCAAAATTACACCTAACATCACACTTAAGGGAGAGAAACTACATGCTTCCCCACTAATATCAGAAACCAGGGAAAGACACCTGCTCTCACCACTCCTATTCAACATCACACTGGAAGTCCTACCAATGCAGAAAAAGAAATAAATGGTATACAAAATGGAAAGAAAGAAATAAAATGTTGTTCACAGATGACATCATTGTGTAGAAAAAAAATCCCAAAAATTAACGAAAATACTCATGGAACTAAAATGCAACTGTGATAGCACTGCTGAAGGATACCAGGTTAATATACAAAAGTTGATTGGTTTCTTGCAAACTAGCAATGAACAGCTAGAATTTGAAATTACATTCCATTTACATTAGTATTCCCCAAAAAGAAACACTCAGGCATAAATCTAACAAAACATGTATAAGATCTATATGAAGAAAGCTGTATGACTAATGAAGAAAATCAAAGACTCTAAATAAATGGAGAGAAATTCCAGGTTCATGGATAGGAAAGTTAATATTGTCAAGATGTCAGTTCTTTCCCACCTGATCTACAGATTTGATGTAATCCCAACAAAAAGCCCAGCAAGTTATTTTGTGGGTATCAACAAAGTAATTCTACAATGTACACTGAGAAGCAAGAGACCCAGAACAGCCAATATAATGTTGAAGAACAAAGCTGTAAGACTGACACTACTGTATTTTAAGACTTTCTAAAAAGACACAACAATCACTATAGGGTGGTATTGGTGAAAGAACAAATAGAGTAATAAAACAAAATAGAGAGCACACAGAGAGCCCAGAAATAAGCCCTCATAGTCATCTGACCTTTGACAAAGGAGCCAAGGCAATGCAATGGAGAAGGACAGTCTTTTCAGCAGATAGGGTTGGAATAACTGGATATCCACATGTCCCCTCGGCCCCCCAAAAAATGAATCTAGATAGACCTTACACCCTTCACAAAAATTAACGCAAAAGGGACCATAGAAGCACCTACATGGCTCAGTTGGTTAAGCGTCTGACTCTTGATTTCAGTTCATCATCTCACAGACGTGAGATTGAACCCCACATTGGGCTCCACTCTGAGCGTGGTGTCTGCTTGGAATTCTGTCTCTCTCAAAATAAACAAACATTAAAAAAAGAGGAGGGGACCATAAACTTAAAGTAAAATGCAAACTATGAAACTTTTAGAAGGTAACACAGGAGAAAATATAGGTGACCTTGGGTTTGGCAATGCCTTTTTATCTGTAACACCAAAAGCACAATCCATGAAGCACAAAATTAATTGGTAGGTAGAACTTCACTAAAATTAAAAGCTTCTACTAAGTGAAAGACACTGTTTTGAAAATGGAAAGATAAGCCATAAATAGAAAGAAAATATCTATAAAACACGTATCTGATAAAGGACTTGTACGGACAAACCACAACACACTGTATTAAATAATACATCATACATTAAAATGAATCCAGTGAACTTGGTTTCCCAGCGCATATAAAGCTATGCTTACACTATACTGTAGTCTATTAAATCTATAATACCGTTATGTCTTAAAAAGACAAAGTACATACCTTAATTAAAAAATACTTTAATGCTAAAAAATGCTAATCATCAGAGTCTTCAGCAAAGGGTAATCTCTTTGCTGCAGAGGGTCTTGCCTCTTCACTGATGGCTGCTGACTGAACAGGGTGGTGGTTGTTGAAGGCTAGCGTGGCCGCGGCAATTTCTTAAAATAAGAAAAGTGAGTTGGCTGCATTGACTGACTCTCCCTTTCATGAGTGATTTCTGTGTAGCATGCAATGCTGTTTGATAGTATTTTACTCACGGGAGAACTTCTTTCAAAAGCTGAAGTCCATCTTCTCAAATGCTGCCTATGCTTTTATCACCTAAGCTTATGTAATATTCTAAATTCTCTGAGGTCAAACTTCCCAGAATCTCCACCAGGAGTAGACTCCATCTCAAGAAACCACCTTCTTTGCTCCTGCACAAGAACGTCTCATCCATTCAAGTTTGATCATGAGATAGCAGCCATTCAGTCCGTCTTCAGGCTCCAGTCTAATTCCAGTTTCCTGCTGCTCCCACCACACCTGCAGCGTCTTCAGTGCTCCCTCCACTGAAGCGCTGCATCCCTCAGGGTCATCCACGTAGGGTGGAATCAACCTTTCCAAACTCCTGTTAGTGTTGAGAGTCTGATCTCTTTCCATGAATCATAAATGTTCTTAATGGTATCTAGAACGGTGAATCCTTTCCAGGGGGTTTCAATTTAGTTCACTCAGATCCATCAGAGGAATCCCTATCTACGGCAGCTGTAGCCTTATGAAGCAGCTGTAGCCTTATGAAACGTATTTCTTAAATAGTAAGACTTCAAAGTAGAAATTACCCTTTGATCCGTGAGCTGCAGAAGGGATGTTATGTTAGCAGGCGTGAAAACATTAATTTTGTTGTGTATCTCCCTCAAAGCTCTTGAGAGACCAGATACAATGTCAGTGAGAAGTAATATTTTATTTTTTAAATGTTTGTTGAGAGAGAGAAACGGGGAGGGGCAGAGAGAGAGGGAGACGGAGAATCCCAAGCAGGCTCTGCAGCTGTCAGCACAGAGGCCAATGAGGGGCTCGAACTCACAAACGGTGAGATCACAACCTGAGCCCAAACCAAGAGTCAGACGTTCAACCGACTGAGCCACAAAGGTGCCCTGAGAAGTAATATTTTAAAAGGAATCATTTTTTTTCTGAGCAGGTCTCAACAGCAGGCTTACACTATTCAGTAAACAGTGCTGTAAACAGACACGCTGTCACCCAGGCTGTGCTGGTCCATTTATAAAGCACAGGAAGGGGCGCCTGGGGGGCTCAGTTGGTTGAGTGTCTGACTTCGGCTCAGGTCATGATCTTGCGGTTCAGGAGTTCGAGCCCCGCATCGGGTTCTGTGCTGACAGCTCAGAGCCAGAAGCCTGTTTCAGATTCTGTGTCTCCCTCTCTCTCTGCCCCTCCCCCGCTCATGCTCTCTGTCTCAAAAATAAACTATATAAAAAAAATTTTAAGCACAGGCAGAATACATTTAGCCTAATTCTTAAGGGTCCTAGGAGTTTTACATCAAATGAGCCCTGACTTCAACTTCAGATCACCAGCTGCATTAGCTCCTAGCAAAATGGTCAGCCTGTCCTTTGAAGCTCTGATGACAGACAGTGACTTGTCTCTAGCTGTGCAAGTCCTAAATGCATCTTCCCATGTAAGGCTATTCCGTCTACACTGAAAATCTGTTGTTTAGTGTAGCCACCTTCATTACTTATTTCATTTTAGCCAGATCTTCCGGAGAACTTGCTGCTTCACCTTGCACTTGTATGTTAGAGACAGCTTCCTCCCTTAACCTTCATGAACCAACCTCTGCTAGCTTCAAACTTGTCTTCTGCAGCTTCTTTACCTCTCTCAGCCTTCATAAAATTGAAGAGAGTTAGGGCCTTGCTCTTAATTAGGCTTTGGCTTAGGAGAATTCTGTGGCTGGTTTGAGCTTCTATCCAGGCCACTAAAACCTTCTCCATGTCAGCAATAAAACAGTTTCACAAGAGGCTGAGCTTTTTGCTTATCTCTGCTTCCTGTGTGCTTTCCTCATTAAGCTTAATCATTTTTAACTTTCAACTTCAAGTGACAGACGTTTGTCTCTTCCTTTCACATGAACACTTAAGGGGCCACTGTAGGGTTATTAACTGGCCTAATTTCAATATTGCTGTGTCTCGGGCAACAGCGAGGCCTGAGGGGAGGGAGAGATGAGGGACTGGCCAGTCAGGGGAGCGGTCAGACATACACATTTGTCATGTTTGCCATCTTATCTGGGTGTGGTTGGGCTGTGGCACCTCAAAACAATTACAACTGTAACATCAAAAGACACTGATCACCGATCACCATAACTAATACAATAGTGAAAAACTTTGAAATATGAAAATGATCAAAATGTGACAGAGACGAAGTGCACAAATGCTGTTGGAAAAATAGCACCAACACACTTGCTCCGTACAGGGTTGCCACAAACCTTCGATTTGTGAAAAATGCAGTATCTACAAAGTGCACTAAAGCCTGGCATGCCTGTATCTAAATTATACAAACAACTGTTAATATTCAACAGTAACAAAGAACGCAATTAAATAACGAGCAAAAGATCTGAACAGACAACGCACCAAAGAAGAGGGTAAATAAAAATACAAAAAATACATACAGAGGGTAAATAAAAATACAGAAAGAGTCTCAAGATTACTGGTCATGAGAGAACTGCAAATTAAAACAAGATACCACTAAGCACATATAACAATAGCTAAAATCCAAAACACTGACAACACCCAATCTTGGCAAAGATGTAGACCAATAGGAACTCTCTCATCTATTGCTCAGAAGGCAAAAATGGTACAGCCACTTCTTCCACTTTTGGAAGACATGCAGTTTCTTACAAAACTAAACATACTCTAACCATATGATCTAGCCATCATGCTCCTTGGTATTTTCCCAAATGAGTTGGAAGCTTACGTCCACATAAAACATGCACATGAATGTTTCCAGGAGCTTTATTCATAACCATCAAACCACAGAAGCAACCAAGATGTCCTTTACCGGGTGAACAGATAAATCTTGGTACAGCATGTAATGGAGTATTATTCAGCAGTAAGAAGAAATGAGCTGTCAGGCCATGAAAAGACATGGAGAAACGTCATGGCATATTGCTAAGTGAAAGAAACCAGCTGAAAAGACTACATACTATATGGTTCCAATTCTATGATATTCTAAAAAAGGCAAAACTACTATAGAGACAGTGAAAAGATCAGTGATCGACACGAGTTTTAGGAGGAAGGCAGACGGGAATTTTAGGGCAGGAAAACTATTATGTATGATAATGTAATGGTAGGTCCATGTTGCTCTACGTCTGTCAAAACATAACGAACATACAACACAATGAATGAACTTTAACCTAAACTACAGGCTTTAGTTAATAATAATGTAATGATATTGGTGCATAATGTGTAACCCATGTACCCGCTGATGTAAGACATAATGACAGGAGAAACTGGGGTGTGGGTGAAGGGGTATATGGGAACTCTGTATACTTATACACCTGAAACTTCTCTAAAAAAACAATCCCATTATTTTAGGGGCCCCTGGCTGGCTCAGTTGGTAGAACGTGCAACTCTCCATCTTGCAGTTTTGAGTTCAAGCCTCACATTGGGTGCAGCGATTATTTAAAAAAAAAAAAAAAAAAAGTAAAAAATAATATGACTTCCAAAATAGAAGGACTACAAAGAATTATCTTCTACATAATTTTAGGTCATTTGCTTAAAAGAAAACTCCCTCTAATAAAGACATGAGTTCTCTTAACTTTAGTTTTACCTTTCTATGAGAATCAGGCGTATGTTGTTGTTGTTTTTTAATTATGATAAAATACAACATAAACATAAATGTAAAATTCACTGTTTTAACCATTTTTAAGTTTATGGGTTTATTTTGTTTTGTTTTTTTAAGTTTATTGGGGGGGGGGCGGTGGACAGAAAGAGAGGGAGAGAGAGAATCCCAAACAGGCTCTGCACTGTGAGCGTAGAGCCTGACACAGGGCTCCATCTCACCAGCCGTGAGATCATGACCTGATTCAAAATCAAGAGTCAAATGCTTAACTGACTGAGCCCCCCAGGCGCCCCTATGCTTCTGTTTTCATATGTAATATAAAGACAGTAAGTATTACTTACTATCATGACTTTACTTGGCTTAAAAACATATCAAAAAGGGAACTTCCCATAAAACAGTGAGTGTATGATTTAAGAACTTCCAGCATAATTAGAGCCAGCTTGGGAAATCTGTACCACTGTGCTACGGAGCTTCTATTTCTCTAGGCTACTCCAGTGAAAGGGAGCAGTCAGACGCCTACCTTAGAAGAGAGTCACCCATGCACGCGGGTGGCAGAAAGTCCTGTGTAGTAACACACGGAAAGGCTGAAGAGAACTTCTGAAGACAGGAAATTAAATTTTTAAAAAATCAGAGCACAGCTTAGAAGAGATGATCAGTTTCCATGCTCCCAGGAGAAAATGAATGATTAGCTCAAGGAAATTCTGTGGAATAATTCTAAATTCCAAAGAAATCAGTTTAAAGTAAGAACTCCGCACTCAGACAAAAAGCACCTACTTTCCCCAGGTCTGAAGGAACTGAACAGCAGTTAAGACTGGAAAGAAGAGCAGCTGCTCAAAAAGACGAAAGCCCCAAAAGGATTTGATCAAAGAAGAAAGTAGCCAAATTAGGCAAAGTGAAATACAGATTAAAGGCAAAATCAAAAGGCTGGTTGAGACAAATGAAATAATGTCTAATTATAAAAGAACAATCACAAATTATCTATTAAGTATCTCATTTGCATACTGAGATGCTCTAACGCATGAACATTTTACATCAACTCTAGAAACTTGGCTACCAGGTATCAATACCAGTCTGGATGATAAATGACCACAGAAGCCTATAAAACCTGGATCCTCTGAGGAGCAGTGAAAAACAGACTGTATTACTGGCAGTGGAAATGCATTCTAATTACAGTTTTCTTAACCTGCATCTTGATAGCAATGACAAGAAAAAGATTTATGGTAACTGCTACAAGAGTAAACTTCCAGCCTAGATTATGGTACAGCTCCAACTGTCCTGGAGACGGCCTGTGGGTGGTTCCTCTGCAGGAGAAGGTAAAGATTCCAAAGGGAGGGAGCCGCAGCACAGAAGATGGACTCCTGCACTCCCTCCACCCACATCTTCTCTTGAAAAGTCTGGCCACACCTTAATGCACTGCTTCAAGAAGTGTGTCAGATGCTCCTATGCGCAAAACTGCTAGGCCACGCAGGATAAACATGAACAAAACACAGTCTTTACACTCTACCAGGTTAAGGCCGGAGGAAATAAAACGCACAAAACAACCTCTTACTAAAAGAAAGACAAGCACCGTAAGAGAGGAACAGACAGTCGGAGACACACATGCTCAGAGCGCCTGCGGGCGGCGCGAAGGAAAGCCGGCGGGAGGAGACGGGAGCTGCAGGCTGCATTCACCCTACACCTGTTTACACACCTGCCCCGCGCCCGCAGGCACACTGTGGGGCGGGGGGCGCTAGGACGAGGGGAGGGGGCTTAGGAGGTGCTCACTCTCAGACTCTCAGCCTGGAGACCTGGATTAAGGAACAAGGCCTCACAAACATTAAATGTGCAGCAATCAATCAAGCTTCTTTCACTGTCTTATGTTGTTATGTAGGCATATTATAAGTATTTAGAAACCAAACACACTGAAAGCTCACCATTTTTTTTTGTCCCAGGTCCCCGGAATTAAGTTCAGACGTTAATCTTTTTCCTGATTTTCTATGACTTTTCACATTTTTTCTAGGAGAAGGGCTTTTATCACAAATAGCAGTATTCACATCTTTTGACAATATGTACTTCTTCCTATAGATCAGAGATTCTTCAACCGTCTTATTTAGGAGAACTGATTTAAAAGTAGTTTCAGATTCAATACGCCAATCACTTTGCTTGGTATTTTCAGTATTTTTCTGCTCTGAAAGTTTAGGATGATTTAGTTGTTGCTGATTGTCCCTTTCGCAAACTCCTACTTCCATTTTATCTACTTCGTTAGGGTGCATTGTTTTTTTCTTATATTGTACCTTTTCTGTTTCTTCACAATTATCATCAGATATTGAAGAGGATGATTTTTGTTTAGTAAGTTTTTTGTTGATAATAATATCTAATGGAAAAATAAAAAATTCATCCTTATTAATAAACTGGTAATACAAAAATTTGTTAGAATCAAAGATATTTATTGGACATTTCAAGAAATGAGTATATCCCCGAGCTACTATTATATACAGAGAAAACGATGTTTCACCTTGATTGAAGGTGTCTCCTGATGAACTTTTGTTATTACATAGATTGATATTTGTTACAGGTGTCCAACATGACCATTTGGAGTTCATTTTATTCCCAGAGATGTTGTCCAAAACACCAGATAACCTGGAAAATAAAATAACTTGCTTAACATATCACAAAACATTAGTTCATGACTCTAACCTGAGACCTTGATTTTTTTTTTAATTTAGTCAGTGTTTATTGATAGCAATTTGTTAATAATGAAGTATGAAAATATTTTGCTAAGTCATGATGAAAGTTAAAATTTACTATATAATTGATGAGATTAAAAACTATTATTAAAAAAGTTCTATTATTGTTACTATTTGATATCTACCTAAATATATCTCTTGATGTTCTATTGTCCATTTAAACAGGTTAAATTTCTGCACATTCATACTTTATTATTTTAAAAATCCTATTCATCTTAAGTCTCTCAATTTGAAAAAGAGGGATGTTGGCTGCTATGAAAAAAACAGACTATTCCCCATTATGTAATCAGAGTAATACATGTGATGATCGGTGCTATAGCCAATGCTACCTTCTCAGAATATATAGGACTTTTCTTTTAAATGTATTACATTCACCTAAAACAACATTAATATACGCTAACTTATTTGATGATTTTTTTCATACTTACACAGATTTATCTATTTTTCCCAGTGTCTGTGAATCAGGTACAGTATCGTGCAGTTCACCTAAATAAAACCAAAATTATGGCATTTTCAGTTTTGTATGCAGCTGGCAGGGTAAAATGGGAGTCGGTATACAATTTGATCAAGGTTCACATATTAGGAAGGAGAGGCTCATATTCTTGGAAATAGAGACTGTAGGATATTTTCCTGTAGCCTCTAAGTTCCTTAATGCATAAAGCCAAATGCTTTCATTGTAAATCTTTCTTTTTCAATGAATGGGCTAACCAAGAAGTTAAAGAGGAAATTAAAAAGTACATGGAAGCCAACGAAAATGATAACACGACGGCCCCAAACCTCCAGGACCCAGTAAAGGTGGTCATGAGAGGGAAGCATACAGCAATCCAGGCCTTTCTAAAGAAGAGAGAAAAGTCTCAGATGCACAACCTAACCTTACACCTCAAAGAGCTGGAAAAAGAACAGCAAATAAAACCCCCAAACCAGCAGAAGACAGAAAATAATAAAGACTAGAGCAGAAATCAATGCTATCGAAACCACAAAAACAGGAGAGCAGATCACTGAAACAGAAGCTGGCTCTTTGAAAGAATTAACAAAATTGGTAAACCACTAGCTAGTTTGATCAGAAAGAAAAAGGAAAGGACCCAAATAATTAAAATCAAGAATGAAAGAGGAAAGATCAAACCAACACAGCAGAAATAAAAATAATAAGATAATATTATGAGCAATTATATGCCAAGAAAATGGGCAATCTGGAAGAAAGGGACAAATTCCTAGAAACACATAAACTACCAAAACTGAATCAGGAAGAAATAGAAAATTTGAACAGACCCATAACCAGTAAAGAAATTGAATTAGTAATCAAAAATTTCCCCTGATAACATATCAGATAAAGTGTTAGTATCCAAAATCTATAAAGAACTTATCAAACACAACACCCAAAAACAAATAATTCAGTGAAGAAATCAGCTAATGACATGCACAGACACTTCTCCAAAGAAGACATCCAGATGGCCAACAGATACATGGAACGATGCTCTAACATCACTCATCATCAGGGACATACAAATCAAAACCACAATGAGATACCGCCTCACACCCGTCAGAATGGCTAACTTCAATAACTCAGGCAACAACAGATGCTGGCAAGGATCTCTTCTGCACTGCTGCTGGGAATGCAAACTGGTGCAGCCACTCTGGAAAAGAATATGGAGGTTCCTCAAAAAGTTAAAAACAGAACTACCCTATGACCCAGCAACTGTCCTACTAGGTATTTATTCAAGGGATACAGGTGTGTGGTTTCAAAGGGGCATATGCACCCCAATGTTTACAGCAGCGCCATCAACAATAGCCAAAGTATGGAAAGAGCCCAAATGTCCATCAATGGATGAACAGATAAAGAAGATGTGGTATATACTGTACACACACACACACACACACACACACACACACACACACACACACACTGGAGTATTATTCGGCAATCAAAAAGAATTAAGTCTTAGCATTTACAACTATGTGGATGGAACCGGAGGGTATCATGCTAAGCGAAATTAGTCAGAGAAAGACAAATTATCATATGACTTCACTCATATGAGGACTTTAAGATACAAAACAGATGAGCATAAGGGAAGGGAAGCAAAAATAACATAAAAACAGGGAGGGGACAAAACATAAGAGACTCTTAAATATGGAGAACAGAGGGTTACTGGAGGGGTGGTGGGATGGGGGATGGGCTAACTGGGTGAGGAGCATTAAGGAATCTACTCCTGAAATCACTGTTGCACTATATGCTAACTAACCTGGATGTAAATTTTAAAAATTCATAAAAATTTTAAAAAGCAAATCTTTCTTTTTCAAATCAATGAAAGCTAGTGGAATTAAAGATAAATATGAAGAGAAATATACATATTTTTTAAAAGAGAAAGTGAAATTAAAAATAAGTACTTACTAAAATTTTGGTTTGGGAATTCAGTGTCCTTATTTTCTGTCTTCTCTACAACTTTAGCAGCTTTGACATGCTATAAAACATAGGGAACATGTTAATGTAAATTTAAACAAAGTACTGTATGAAAACAACCCTTAAAAGTCACAGTGTTAATGTTGAAAACCTTTAAAACAAATTTGCCTTGCTATTAAAATTTGGATAGTACTTCTACTGTTTTATAAAGATGATGCCCATCTCAGAATATTGCTCATCCTAAAACACAAGAAAACCATTTTCATTGCAGACAAGGCAGAAGATGTACACATTTACTGACCTCATCCACGGCTAGCACAGTAATTCAGTTTCCATCTAAAACTGACAATTTCTAGAATCGCCACGGCACATCTACCACTGCTGATGTCACGGCCTGTGACTATTCTGTCTTCTCACTAACATGCCTAAAAGATTTGGAAGTTACAGAATCTTAAAGGATTCAGTACAGTTGTGGCCATTGGGCAGATAACTTCTTGCCTACGTCAAGCTTCCCTCTTTCCATAGCCACAGATACACATGTAGTCAGATCAAATAAAAACCCGCCATCACTATCAGAAAAACATACCCTACAGGCTAGGACACTGCCTCGCCCTTCCTGTCTCCCCTACCAATTGAATCTAGCCAGTGGGCCTCTAAGCCGGGAGAGGAGCAGTGTGAAAATGTGCCCGTACGTTTTGGGTGTCACGGTGACTGAAGGGCTCTCCTGACAAGAACAAGAAAGCACAGGCCTGGACCCTTCAGGACCAGGCCACACCAAGGAACAGCGCTCTGATTAAGGAACACTGACCTTGAAAATTTGAACAATTGCTTTTGACTGTTTTCTTAGTATCTTCAACCCTTGGACCATTTATCATTCTGCCACATACCATTTCATTTTTTTAAAACCACCACTATTTTTTACTACAATACCAAGGCTATTAAGCTTTGCTGGAGAAAATTACACATGTTTCTAAACTAATACATATGATAAACTTCAGTCTTAAATTTAAAAGGCCTTCAACCTTGCCTAACACCTTTACTCACTCTTTGCTCTCTCCATTATCTCTTAGTAGCTATTCCAAATCTCTACACGTCTCTGAGCCCTCTCCGGAAAGATATCACCAACAGAAATTCACCATGCTCACCTCACACTTCAGAGAAAACAGAAGCTATTAGGTGTTCCACATCTACAAACTTATCTGTATCTCTGGTTACCTCCTACATCTCCCAAGAAATAACTTTGTCTTAAATATTCTCTTCTCTATTCTTCTTAAAGAGCATCTCCTGATCTCCACCCTCCCCTCCAGCTCTGGGGTTAGGCACCTGCCCCTCCACTAGGTTCCTACTGCTTCTTTTATGTACAGTCTGAGAACATTTATACAATACTATAATTATCTTATTAATTTGCCTAATTTCCATACTAGACTTTGAGATACTTAAGAACAGAGTCCACCTGTGGTTTACATTTCTAGCAGACACTAAGTTGTATAATAAACTAAACAATGATGGCGAGGCCACTTCTCCTACTAAATACATAAATCAAAGTTATATTGAGTGAATATTCCTAAATTTTACTGGTAGCACAATAAATAAAAGCCAGAAGGATTGACTTTCAAGAATAAGTCATATATACATATGCATATATGTATACATACACACATACAGTAATACTTGAAACATAGTGAGATACTCACTACTTGCAAAAGAAATTAGTTCAATATGTATTTCTACAATAACTTGATAAAATTAATTTTCTTTAATGTGTTCAAAGTAAAATTACTTTGTCTGTATTGTCTCCACTCTTTCTTCCTTCAGACGGTCTGGAGGGATGGGATTTAGCATTGTCCACCCTACTTTTGGATGTTTTAGGAATATCAGGTTTTTCTGCAGAACTCATCACGTGCAGCGGTGGTTTAATTCTTCCTCTTCGTGGTGTTGCTAAAAAGAAAGACAAAGGACTGCTATATTTGTAGGGTCTTAAACATCACATATTGCAGGGTGCCTGCGTGGCACAGTCAGTTAAACATCTGACTCTTGGTCTCAGCTCAGCTCATGATCTCACAGTTCGTGAGTTTGAACCCCATATCGGGCTCTATACTGATAGTGCAGAGCCTGCTTGGGATTCTTTCTCTCCTTCTCTCTGCCCCTACCCTGCTTGTGCTCTCTCTCAAAATAAATTTTAAAAATTATATGTTGCTATTACTGAGGCACTTTCTAGATGAGGAATGCAAAAAAGGGTGGTGCTAGGATGGGTCCCCGATTTCTGGTTTCGATGAATAAGTGGATATCGATGCCATTTAGCAAGGTAAAAAATGGACGAAAAACTAGCAGGAGGATAGAAAGATCAATTTATTTGGCACCTGTTAAATTTGAGGAGTTGTTGGACATCAGACAATTGCCCACTAGGCAACTGGATTTTGGGAATGGAAAGTCATTATTAAATTGTCATAAAGACTAATAAATAAGACTATTTTATAGCAGCTACTACATAACATTATTTTTTAAATTTTTATTTAGCTCTTAGCATGTACCAGGCACTAAGTGTTTCACAGTGTTCCTCATTGAATGAATAATTTTTATCTTGTCTTCTAAACAACTTGATGGGGTAGACACTTCAGTTCCACTTTCTAAAAAGACAACTGGTTCTAAGTTTAGCAGGAGGACAGGCTGTACAAAGCACACACGTGCGAGCGGGAAACAAGCCCACGCGGCCTGACGGACACAGGGGTTTTAGCTGCTGTGCTACGGCTGGTGCCCCTTACGTTACAGGAAGTTATGAACGCCGGGTATTAATATTTTGAATAATGTTTATATGTTAATATCCATTATACCTTTCTTAGGAATTTGAAATCTCTTGACAATTATGTGTAAATTAAATCCCCAGAATATCTCTGAATTAAAAATGCCTGCTTTGAAGATATAATGTCTGTAGCTCAAGAGTTCGGGCCCCATATCAGGCTTGCTGCTGTCAGTCACCCCGTCAGTGCAAAGCCCACTTCAGTTCCCCTCTCTGCCCCTCCCCTGCTTGCGCTCTTTCAAAAATAAAATAAACATTAAAAAAATATACACATATACACTCATGTATGTTAGAAGTCTTTCAAGAGTATAAAACTTACATGTGTTGATTAAAAGTACTGGACTTCTTACAGTGTATCTATCTGTCCCAGGAACAATCATTGATGCTTCAGACATTTTTCTTTTGCTAGGAGTAGTTCTCTGAAACCATGAGAAGCAGCCACAGTAAACACACGTTCTCTTTGGAATGAAATATCCTATAATTTTATTCATAACATTCACCTTGACTACACCCAAAAGACATATGGTATTTTATAAATGACATCATATCAAGAAATTTCTGTTTTAGGCTGACTTGAAAGGTTCTATCCTAAATATCTGGTATTGAACAGGTAGCCAAAACAAGGAATGTTGTTTTAAACGGTATTTATAGAGGGACACGTGGGGGCCTCAGTTAGTTAAGCATCTGACTCTTGGTTTCTGCTCAGGTCAGGATCTCATGGTTTGTGAGTTTGAGCCCCGCATCAGGCTCCATCCAGGCTGACAGCACGAAGCCTACTTGGGATTCTTTTCCTCTCTATGCCCCTTCCCTGCTCGCATGCTCTCTCTCAAATAATTTTTTTTAAAGTATTTATAGAGTATACAGACATATGTAATACAACCCCTTTATATGCCAGCTAATAATATTTTACTGTAAGCTTGTGTACTTTACAACCAATGGCCTGGTTTCTTATTCTGTTTCCGTGCATGATGTCTGGATACATGTGCGTGAATGCTTTCATAATGTGTAGCATTCTTCAAAACTTTCACACATTTTTAAAAATCGTATTAATAATCTGCGAAGACCACACTAACTTTGGGGTAAAAGCAGCTACAGGAACTCAGAGACTCAGCGGCACAGGAGCCAGTGGCTCCAATAAAGACGCGCATTTTCTAACTTCATTCTAGGATAACAGGGCAGAGGGAGGCAAGCAGACGCAAAGGCTGCAGGCACAGGAATTTCAGGCGGCGTCCTATAAAGGAGCAGAGGAGGAAAAACTGCAAAGACGCAGAGAACAGCAGTGTGTGTGTTGTTTTTTAAAGGCACCTGCCCCTGAGCCTAAGAAAAAAACACTGCAGGAATTTTTATAGGTATGTAAATGAGGGGTGGAGGAAAGGTGGAGAGGAGAGGAAAAGGAGGAATTCAAAGGTTAACCAGAAAACAAACTACTAAACCAAGGGATTCTCATGCAAAAAAGGATAGTTCTTAGTGGCACAGCGAAAGGAAGCTGGGAAGTTACTTATTCATATAATGGCTTCACAGTTAACCCTGAAGGAAAACACAGTGGGTATTTAACAACAGTGCACTGTTTTTTTTTAGAGAGATCTTTTCCAGAGTTTATGACTTAATGAGTTTTAGGTGGGCGTCCTAAGAATTTTAAATAAGTACTCAAGGTACAACAGGGATACACAAGGTACAGCAAATGGCAAATAGCTTTTATAATTGAATCCTCTAAGGAAAACTGACATTTTTCATTTAATGAAGGACACAAGACTAACGGGAAAGGACAGAACACCACCGTGCCGGAGTGTACGGGGGAGCCTGTGAGAGTTCCAGTTGCCGAAAGGTGAGAAGTTAGTAAAAATTAAAACAGGAAAAGGTCCATGAAGAGAAATGAAAATTAGTCATCAAGACTTGCAAACATGGGGTGCCTGGGTGGCTCAGTCGGTTAAATTTTGGCTCAGGTCATGATCTCACGGTTTGTGGGTTCGAGCCCCGCATCGGGCTCTGTGCTGACAGCTCAGAGCCTGGAGCCTGTTTCGGATTCTGTGTCTCCTTCTCTCTCTGACCCTCCCCTGCTCATGCTTTCTCTCTCTCAGAAATAAATAAAAAACATTAAAAAAAAAGCTTGAAAATGTAAGGGCACTTTAAATGGGGAAAAGTAAAAAAAAGGACACACAGCATGAACGAATGTAGAGGCAAGGATTAGTGTGATATAAAGAAAGAGGCATTAAAGCAACTAACCAAACTTGTAAAGTAGTATTTAGATACTAGAGTAAAATGAGATTGTAGAAGGTGCCAAGTTTAGATGCGGGAAGGTAAACACAGAGATCACAAAGCTTTCTGAGCAGAGGAATGCTACCAGGACATGTCAAGAGTTTACACCCGGCACGCGAAGGAACGTAGGGAGAGAAAGTATCTCTAACGCAGTGACAGAAGTAGGAAGAGAGTTAAATGCTAGCAGAAATCGAAGGAGGACTGGACGATAAGAAAGGCAGGGCTGTCAGCCATGCCAAGGGTCGCAGGGAGGGAAGAAGGCCCAGCACTGGTTCTGTGGAATGTGGCCCAGAGGGGAGTCTCCAGGGAGCAGGAGGAGCAGCAAGAATTCTGTCCTCATGCGAAGAAAGAGGACACTGCATCACACATCTGTATTCTGCATAAAGGCCAAAAGCAAATACAAAACAGAGGGATGAATGTAAAAAGTGGTGGTTACTTTCTTACACGTCTCTATTTGGAAGTGACAAGTGTATCGCATACTCGGTCCTACCCCTCCACATAAACACAACTGCTGAAGCACTAGCTTTTGTTTGCATGTGTGAAAGGCAGGGGAAAATACTTGACATGTTACTGATGAAGACCATTAAGGCAAAACTCTAGATGCCTTTTCTCTAATTATATGTAGCAATGATTTGATCTATGCCATTTTATAAACAGCTATTTGACACTGTATTTACCTCAAGCTGACTATCCCTTCTGTCCCCTTGATTACTGTTTTTGACACCTTTTGGAGGTTTAGCAAATTCCTTTTGGGAGTTAGGTTTTTCTTTCAAACTAACGAGTTCCTCGTCCATGGGTGAGATTTGACTCTCTGGTACCAGAATCTGTTGTAGAAAATGAGGAAAAAGTGTTTCAGACTCTGCAAACCACATGAACTACTCAAAAACCACTGGATGTTCATCCCACACTTGTGTCAATTCCTTGTCTTCCATGTTTGGACTCAGTCCTACAAATCGACCCAATAAAAAAACATCCACGTTTTCAAATGTCAACAGACCTGAAACAGACTTTGTCATTAGAGGCAGGACATATTCTTCTAATTTCTAAAGTCACCAAAATGGTATTAATAACTATCTTCTGTCCTAAAACAAATTATCATTAACAACATATTTTAAAAATCCCATACATTGTATTGGGGGACTATCTATATTGAGACAGTATATTTTTTAGATATTCACCCTCCAACATCATATTGTGCTATCTATCACTTAGCGTTCAGCTTAGCCCGGTGATAAAAATCAGTAAGTCAGACACATACCTGTGATCCGCTTGCATCAAATAGTATATGCACAGATGTTTTGGCAACTGAAATCCCTTGTTTTCTGGTAAATTCCTAAAATTAAATTAATGCAAAGCGATGTCATTTTCTCTCAGTTCCTTTCCATTTTAATGCAATTACTTCCTGTTTCCTTTCCCAACTGTCAAGTCATCTCAGATCATTATTTTGCATATGTAAGTACCCTTCTCTGAACAACACAGCGACTCTTCACTAGTCAGTCTTCCGAGCCTGCCATTTTGGTGAGGATCCTTCAAAAACACAGTCTCTTTTTCTTCACCATAAATCTTTCTCACTGCTATAAAACTGAATGTGTTCCTGCCAAAATTCACATATTGAAACCTAATCTCCAGTGTGATGGTAGTGAGAGGTAGGGCCTTTGGGAGGTGAGTGCGTCATCAGAGCAGGGCCCTCATGAATGGGATCAGTGCCCTTATGAGACCCCAAAGAGCTCCTTCACCCCCTTCTTCCATGTGAGGATATAGTGAGAAGATAGCCACTGTGAACAGGAAGCGGTTATTTTCACCAGAAAATAGGTCTGCTGGCACCTGATCCTGGATTTCCAGCCTCCAGAACTACGAGAAGTCAATGTGTGTCATGTAAGCCACCCAATCTGCGGTGCCTCTGTTACCATGTTCCGCACACACTACAATATGCACCACCCAAGCTTGTCAACAGGGTATCTTTCCCAAACTTCACATGAATTGTCACCTTACTAACTCATGATGTCCTCTACAACTCTAGAAAGCACCTTATCTAAATTACATGCATCAACTTCCAAAGCCATTTCAAACCCTGTCTCCAAAGCCTTTTCTTCAACTCTCTTAATAAGCATTCTCTTCCCTCATCTTCTATACCCCATTTTTCCTATGCCACTTGTTTACTTCTTCTGAGGTACAGTCTGTAATCCTCACAATGTTTACTATCTTAAAAACAGGGTTTTGCCTCAATTCACTTTTTAAACACCCAGCAGGGATTTGTTAAATGTCTTGAGAACTGCAGCTTATTTTACGATCTGAGATTCTAACAGGTGCCTACAGGATCTGGCTAACACTCCGAGGGCGATTCCACAATACAGATTTAAAAACTAAAACCTACATGTCATTTTAAGAATTCTAGAAAAAAAAAATCAGTGAAACTTACAGCCCCAAGTAACTAAAAGTTTCCAGAATTATGAAAATATTTATTAAAATTTTTTATGAAAGTATGTATTAAAAAGAATTTAAACACTTACCTTGTATTTATTTGCACCAAAAATTTTTTGTGTCACACTAGCGATTTCCAATGATGCGTCAAAATACAAAAGCAATTCTTTCCCTTCTCTTTTACTAAGTCTTATTATATTTTTCAAAATTATGGTCAGTAGCTTCTTTGATTCTCTCACTGCACATAAACAAATCACAGTGATTAGTTTACATTCATTTTATGATGCCATTCTATAGGTATACTATAAATAAGAAAAATCATGTAGCACGTTGATTAAATTACAATGAATATTAACTTTTGGATTTAACAATATTTAATCAATTCTGGGGCTAACTATGTAAACAAATCAATTTATTTTTCAGAGTTTTCTGATCTATGAATTACAGGCTAAGACAATAACTAATGAGCTAAAGCCATAAATATGTTTTGGACACTCACAAGTTCTTAACAAATATTTCTGTTACGCATCTAAGAAAACTATTTGCTTAACTTAAAAGAGGCAAACAAAGAAAGTAACTTTAGTTCCATAAATAAGTATATTTTAGGCAAAAGCAGCTATTCAAACATGTCTATTAAATCCAGTTGTTACAAATAAGTTGACAGTAAACAACAGTCAAAAAACTTGAGTGTCAGGAACTAACAAAAAATATAGTCCAATTCCTCATGAACTCGCTGATCCAGTGAAAATACCGTTAGTGCCCGTTTGTAAGAAGGATTTACCTCCCTTCAGAATCACTTGGCATCCAATTAACGTGCCTGTCTTATGGACCAAAGGGCACCAGGGTCAGTGCTCCTGCTGACTGACCAGTCTTGGCACCTGCCCCCAGCGGACACTCTGGGGCAGGAGGAAAACACCCTGATGGAAACGGAGCACACCAGGTAGAAAACTTTGTCTCTACATCAGGAAAAGCTCTACTGGCTACTCCATGGCCTAACCTACAGGGTAACTGTCCCTACTGGCTATAAAATTCTGATTCCGATGCGGCTTACTCAAGCACAATATGGGTTGTTTTTGCAACTATATGGTCGTGAAAACTTCCACAGTAACATCCGTTCATGGGAGTAAGAATTTTTAGTTGCTTAAAGACAGTGGTGACCGTTTCTAACTCAAGGAGTGCCGGGGGTTTTATTGTGGAAAAAAGGTCATCTGTGTCACCAGGAACAGGTGTTCAGGCTTTAGAGATGAAAGTTTTGGTGACTTTGAAGACAATGTTTTGAATTCTGATGATGAATATTAGAAAATTTAGAATCCTGATGTATATTTTTGCTGATTAATGTATCACTCTGAGCTGATGCTTTTCTGCAGCTTGCGGTGCACTAGTAAATGAAATATTTACTGCACTGCTTACATAACCATGGTATTATAAATTAGTGTTGATGAATGCTTTGTACCTTTAGGTACAAAGTACCCTCCATATATACTGTAACTATCTATGTAAGAATTAATTGATATATTTTACTGTCAGCTTTGTTGAAATTTCTGGTATTTCCTTCGACTGTGTGGACTCCGTCATAGCTTGCTTTTAATTAGCAATATTGCTGAGATATCAGAAAAGTCATTTTATTGCTTGCTAAAAAATCCAAATATTTATAGATAAACATATTAGGACCTTATGTTATCTAGATATTCATATGAGATTCCAATACACTATATATACATGAATACAATAATATGCTTTCTGCTGCAAAGGCATTAAAAAAATTAAGACCATCTATGGAGACTAAATAAATTCTTATATAGTATATATAAAAGGGTCTAAGTGTGTGCACCCTATTGCGCTGCTGCTTCCTCATCTAGTCTGCAAGTGTTGAAATTCTTTTTCACTAGAAATACTACTTGATCTCCAAGTGCCACTCATTTTCTTTTCTTTTTTTTTTTTTTACTTCCATGAGTGCCATTCATATAAAAATTCAGGTCTTGCCTGCTCCATACAGGTTATGCTAGATTACCACATTATTACAAAGGATATTAAAGGATACAGACGAACAGCCAGGTGGAGAGATAAATAGTGTGGGGTCTGGAAGGGTCTAGAGACAGGAGCTCCTATCCATGTGAAGTTTAGTACCACCCTCCTGGCATGATGATACATTCTTATTCACCAACCAGAAAGCTCCAAAGAAACACTTTTAATCCACATAGAAGAACATAATTTTTTATAAAAATGTCCTTGTAAAATTAGGATGAGTTTTATTTCAGAAAATCTTGAAACTCAACTTAAGTTATGGTATTAAAACAATGAAAATAACTTTTTTTGCCCAATTATGTGCAGCTGCATTTGGCAAGATGCAAAAGACAGAACTTCATTAGGAAGTGGCAGTAGCGATTAGCATGAAAATAGAAGGGAGAAGAAATTCAAAAGATGTTAAGAGACAGTAAAAAATGGACATGGAAAACGATCGGTTAACGGAGGGAAACAATCAAGGGCTTCTGCATGGGGGAGGTGCTGTAAGGTTATCCTACCACTTGTCAAAACAGGAAACAAAGGAGGAGTTTGGGGGGATATGAGTTTAATTTTTTTCACTTTTAAATTTATTGAAATTCAAGTTAGTTAACACACAGTGTAGTACTGGTTTCAGGAGTAGAACCCAGTGACTCATCACTTACCCAGAACACCCAATGGCCAACACAACAAACACCCACCCCAATGCCCATCGCCCATTTAGCCCATCCACTCGCCTACCTCCCCTTCAGCAACCCTCAGTTTGTTCTCTGTATTTAAGAGCCTCTTGTGCTTTGCCTCCCTCTCTGTTTTTATCTTATTTTTGCTTCCCTTTCCCTATGTTCATCTGTTGTATTTCTTAAATTCCACACGAGTGAGTGAAATTATGAATTCTGTCTTTCTCTGACTTATTTTGTTTAGCACAATACATTCTAGTTCCATCCATGCTGTTGCAAATGGTGAGATTTCATTCTTTTTTAAGCTGAGTAATATTCCGTTGTATGTATGTATGTGTGTGTGTGTATATATATATGTGTATATATATACAATATACACATCATCTTTATCTATACATCGGCTGATGGACATGTGGACTCTTTCCATAACTTGGCTACTGTTGACAGGGCTGCTATAAACACCGGGGTGCACGTGACCCTTCAAATCAGCATTTTTGTATCCTTTGGATAAATACCTAGTAGGTCTATTTTTAATTGAGTTTAGTTTTAGACGTAGGTTTAGATATTTTAGACATTTGCAAAATTATAAAGGTAGAATATAGTTTATTGCTCACATCTATATCTAGAGCTTAGTTGAGAAATTAGGAAAAAAGATTCAAAAATGAAAGTGTAATCGGGGCGCCTGGGTGGCTCAGTCGGTTGAGCGTCCGACTTCGGCTCAGGACATGATCTCATGGTTCGTGGGTTCGAGCCCCACATCGGGCTCTGTGCTGACAGCTCAGAGCCTGGAGCCTGTTTTAGATTCTGTGTCTCCCTCTCTCTCTGACCCTCCCCTGCTCACGCTGTCTCTGTCTCTCTCTCTCAGAAATAAATAAAACATTAAAAAAAATTAAAAAAAAAAGAAAAAGAAAGTGTACTGAACGCTGTCAAATGTAGGGGAAGGGTCAGTACAAGGACTGCAAGTGTGCATATTGATATTAATAATAAAGGTTATTATTTTCACATCTAAGTTTCAGTGGAGTGAGATAGAAAACAGAATGTAGTAAAAGCAGGACTGAAAAGCAGGAGAAAAAAGATTTAGTAAAAACTCTCAAAATTGGCTGTAAATGAAAAAAGACTAAGAGGGCTTGAGGAGGACAGAGGATCCAAGTTGGCTTTTTGTTTTAAAATATAGTAACATATGTGTCATAAAAGTATGGGCACCATGAAAATATCAGATGTGTCAGTCCACCATGTCCAACTCTTTTATTTTTTGAGACAGAGAGAGACAGAGCATGAGTGGAGGGGGGGAGGGCAGAGAGAGAGAGAGGGAGACACAGAATCCAAAACAGGCTCCAGGCTCTGAGCTGTCAGCACAGAGCCTGATGCGTGGCTCGAACCCATGAACTGTGAGATCATGACCTGAGCCAAAGTTGAACGCTTAACCGACTGAGCCACCCAGGCGCCCCCACTGTGTCCAATTCTTGATCCTGGCTCAGGTCATGATCTCACTGTTTGTTGGGTTGCGCCCCACATCAGACTCTGTACTGACAGCACACAGCCTGCTTGGGATTCTCTCTCTCTCTCTCTCTCTCTCTCCCTCCACTGCTTGCTTGCGTACATGCTGTCTCTCTCTCAAAATAAATAAATAAACAAACAAAATAAAAAACAAAACCTCTTTAAAAGCTAGTTGGCTGCATAAAGCAAAACATTATTACGCCGTACTGCAAGGTTTATGACACATGCAAAAGTAAAAGAACAACAAAAGACAGACAGACAAAAAACTTTTTTTTGACTGGCAGCATGGTACAAAAGCCAGGAAAGCAAAAACAGAAGTGTCCTGTTAGAGGTTCTCATGCTACACGTAAAAGGGTATAATATTATTTGAATATATACACTATTAAGCTAAAGATGTATAAAATAGACCCTAAATCAACCATTAAAGTGAGTGTAAAGCCAACAAAAGAGATATAATAAAATCACTGGAAAAAACCAATACAAAAGAAGAAAAAGAGAAAAACAAACATGGCAGAAGGAATGGCAGGTAGAAAAAACAAGAGCTAAATGGTAAATTAAAAGCATACTGATAATCACATCAAACACTGTAATTCAATGCCACAGAATGTCAAATTACATTAAAAAACAAGGCCTCTAGTACATGAAGCTTACGAGTAACCCACCTTAAATCAACAGACAAAAATGAGTTAAAAATAAAGGAAAAAAGATATGCCATGCCATAAGTAACCAACCGAAAGCTGGAGAGTTTATTATCCATGAACTATAATGTTTATAGTTATCTACTATAACATTAAAGTAGATACAGAGCAATGAACTGAACCACAGGAAGAACAGGGTCATTTCATAAAGATAAAGGGGTCAATTTAACAAGATTCTACTACACGTTTATATGACTAATCATAGAGAGTGAAAATACCTGAAGCAAAAAATGATAGAACTCAAAGAACAGGAAAAAATCGCAATTACGAGGGTGACCTCCATACCCCCTTTTTCAGTAACACAGGACAAGGAGATGACTAGTGAGGATATAGAAGACTTGAACAACACTATCAACCCATTCCCC